AAACAAGTCGAGATAAAGCATTCATGCCTTCTGCCACCATGAAGAGAGAGTTGTTTGTGCCCCTGGGAGTTGTAACTATAAGAGGAACAAAAGTGCTTAAGCACAAGAGCAGCAGGCTGGGACTGGTGGTGCTGTTCATCATTGGCATACATGGGCTTATCAAGAGTTGTAGCTGGTTGGAAGAAAAAAGTGAACTAAAGCACACCTCCAAGTCAGAAGTTGCACAGTCCTGCTGTGTTAAATACCTCACCATGTGCCAGTAGGCTTACTTCAAAGCATGACAGATATTTGAAGTAATGGCTAATAAAAGATCCATTAACTTGCTCACATTAGACCTGCCTTTGGGTCATAGCTCAATTCCACAGCACACAGATTTATACAAACTGCCTTTACACCATCACCTTGGTACCTTGTGTAAGGGGGGAATATTTTCTAAAGGTAGATCAGTCAGCAGTGATGACTCTGGACAGGAGTCCTCTCCTGCACTACTTGCCATGGCTGGAAGCAGTGCTGCCCCAAGCTACATGCCTTCAGTGCCAGGCTGACTGCAGGTGTCTTTCAAGGCTTGCACTGCTCAGATGCTCTGGGGCAGAATATAGAAAACATTCACTGGAATCAGTGGCTGACCCAAAATGCTGCAAATCACAGAGTGCATTCTCAAAACTCCTGCCAAGGATCATCCTTTCTACTGAACTGCAGCAGCCACCACACCAAAAACAGGTCAGACTCCTTGCCTGCCTTTCCACCAAGCAAGAAACAGGATGTAGAATCTGTTTCAGGCTCTTCCCATGAGACAAAAGTAACAGAAGAAATGTTGGCCAAATAATGATCAGGGGCAGGGTTCAGCAGTGCACCTAATTCATCAATGGATGTTAGAAATGGTTACACAACTGAGGTGTTGAGAATCAGTGAAGAAACACTAAACACTAAGCTACTGCCTCTGATTTCAAGTCCTGAGCTACGTGGTGGTTGTAGAGGTGTGTGCTGGTCACAACAGCAATGGTCACTATTTTCTTCTCCCTCTCCCTAGTCCTTTTCTTTTGAGAGAGGTTTTCCCATACATTTTATGTTCCTTTAAATATTACCTAGTTCTTGTTTTGTCTCTACTTCAAAAAGATACCACAGCAACGCAACAGGTATTTTCAGATACACAAAACCTGAAGTTAAACATTGGTGTTGGCATATCTACTTAAATCAGATGTCTTAGAGATGAACAAAGAGAACTGGCAAGTGTTAGACAAGCTAAAACAAATGAGGAATTTCATATTAAATATATCAGAAGATTACATTCTTCAATAGTTACATAGTGGTTTACAAATTCTTATAGACTGGCGTTATACTTAGCTGGTGAAATTGAACCAAAAGAATTAAGCTTCCTAGGGAGATGAGAAACTGATGCCAAGGAAGAGAAAGAATATGGAATTTCCAGCTTAAGCTGTTCAGCTTTTTGTTCCCACTCCAACTAAGATTTCCTACCTACCTTCTCCTTCCCAATAACTTTCTGTGTTACCTGCTTTCAATCAGCTTGAAGAAACAAGTAATATTAAGGGTATTCAGCTGCCCTCTCAAATATTTTGCTACTACTCCACCTGTGAAAATTACATAAAAATTAGTTCAAGGAACTGGAGACCTCATTGTATTGCCAGTCACCATCAACTTCCTCGGGATGTTTCTAAGATGAGTCCAACCTCTTTTTATCCTTTTCTTGTTAAAACAGTTTCATTTATAATCAGCTAAGGTTAGGAGTTTTACTTTTTTTCCTTAAAGAAAAATAATGGATACCATTAGGGAAAGAACACAGATCTTTCTTCTGAAATGGTGATTTATTGTCTAAGGTTATGAAATGTAAAAGGAAAAATGGTCAGATCTTTCCCTAACAGACTTCTGCTGTTTGAAGTCTGCCACACACCTTATTGGTAAGTCTGGTAGCATTGTAGATTGCCTAAAATGACCCTTCAGCTAGTCCTACTTTCACTCACCAATATAGCTCATTTAAACTTTTATAATTTGGTATGAGCTTTTAATTTATTTTTTTTTAACTATGTCAGGTATCTGCATCAAGCTGAAAGTTTTTGAACCACTTTAGCCCACATCTCGATAATTTCTGCAAATGAGATAAGGATGTGTGTGGGGAAGTTTAATTTGCACTGAATATTCTGATGACACCTCCTTTGACTAAGCTTTCCATGCTTTAAAGCAAGGAAAAGAAGTCTGACAGGAGAGGGAGGGCATCATAAGAGAATGATACAATGATTCATTCCTCCATCTGAAAATTTGAGCCATTGTGCCAAGTTGCAAATCTTCTAAAAAATTACAGCCTGCATATCTGTTAGCGATTAACAGCTAAAATTTTACATTCAATGAATAAATTCATGCTTTTCATGGGTTTTTAGTGATATCCAGATTGCCTATATAATGCCCTCAAAGAACTGCTAAGAACTCATCTGTCTTCTGAAAACTTTTGTATGTGAGCCAGTAGGGCATATGCAAACCCCAAACTACGTATACATTACAGGGCTTCAGGAAAAACATTGGCTATTGTAGGCAGAAGTGAGACTTGGCAAGAGCAGGGCTGGGGTAGGAGGTAGGGAGGGAGTGAACCTCAGAGCTGAACACCCCTTGTCAATATGGGAAACAGGAAACCGAAGGAAGGAAGAAAGGGAAGTCGCCCTGGAAACCCACTCTCCTCATAAGAGACCTATAAATTCTTCAGTCTGAAGCTGCTGGGTTTTATGGCCATAACGTCATTTTATGTGAAATTGCAAAGCACACAACAAGAGGGAAGATGTGTCTGAGGGGAAGAGCGCAGAGCTGGGCAGCCGACACAAGACGGAGTGTGGGCCAGCACCAAGGCCTGAATCAGACAAGAAGCAAACATGGCAGGATAGAGGATGAAACAAAGGAAAACTGGAGGTGTGTTTAGGTGTCATGGATCTCTATGTCCTAGGGAACATGCTATCTGTAATTTAGCTGCTTGCCAGATCTTGTATCATAAACTAATCTGGCTGACCACTGCTCCACTCTACAGCTGATAAAGTCTTGTGTTCTGAACTCAGAGCCAAATCCAGGCTGTACAACATCCCCATCATGTTTTGTGACCCTACTGGAAGTTATTGTGTGCCCCTGAGAGGACTTTTCCCATAACAGACACAAGGCTTCATCAGTAAAGGATATGGATATGTCATATTCTCCAGGTTTTATTTGGAAATCATAGAGCAAGGCTGTTTTTATGTTCTGGGAGCCTGGACTTAGGTTACTCTGGATCAGTTGGGATGATCTATGGCCTCTAACTGTTTTGCCACTTTTTCAACTCCTGCTCCTGAAAAAACTTTCTCATCTCTTCCTCTTGCTTCCTAAGATGAAATAGGAGGAGTAGGTGACTTGGGTCTTTGCTGCCAGTCCAGCATACCTCCCTGTGATCTCCTGCTCGCTGCTCTTGTCTCTCCACCTGTGCCACATCACTAGCAGTGGTCTCTGTGAGCAGGCTGCACATTGAAGGAGACATAACTGCAATAAATATACCAACATGTTCTCCCTGTCATTATATCAGGAACTGTGAGGAAAAACCTGTGGGAAGAAAGCTGCAGTAGAAAGGCAGGCCTGTTTAAGGAAAAAGTGTGGGAAAAGGCTAGAGGCAACGGCCCACAAAGTCTGTGAGGTGAAAGGATAACTTTTGCTTTCCTGGAACTTATTTCTGGGGGATCGACAGTTCTTGAGAGTTTTTTGTCACCTATTAGCAAATATTGCAGACATTACACCTTTTTTTCTAGTCCACAAAAAAGCTGATATCTAGCATTTAATATAGTAGCTCAGAGGTGGGGAAACTGATCATCAGTTTGTATAATTAATATTTGTTGTTAATATGGCAGCAGAATGCAGAACACCAGAATATTTAATCTGCATCCTGGGGTGGATGGATTGACTTTATTTTTTTTAGAACAATACTAAAATAATACTAAAATTGTGACATGACCTACAGGAAGGTTAAGGATTACACTGTTAGACCTGCTGCTCAGTAGTATCCCCTCTTACCCACCCATGTGTAATAAAAAATTATTAGGCTTTGTAACTACATAACTAGATGCTCTTTTGCTTGCCAACAAACCTTTACTCCATGCACTCTCTAGACTGGATGGTTCTCAGTGTGGATATGAGGATGAAGCACTCCTGCCCATCAGCACAGAGTCTGGTCCCTGACCTGTAATGTCAGCAGGGTCTGATGATTCCTGACGTACAGAGCTGGGAGTACACGCACGCCTGTGCTGATGGACTGCGGATCAAAGCATGCCAACGTGGGACAGAGCTCAGCTTTTCTCTGCTCTGCTGAGTCAGTCTAGGTGAGCTTGTGAAGATAAACTGCTCTTCAGTACAACCACCTGCTGCTGCCAAGAGGTGAGTTGTACATAAACAGGCAACAGCTATCTGGACAGGTGGGAAAGGTAAGGCAGCATGACCTCATAGTGTCCCACATTGCAGAGTCCTAACACCAGCAGCAGGCAACGAGACACTCTGGCACCTCTGCCTGGTTCAGGTCAGAAACCAAATTTCTCCCCTGCTTAGTACTTTTTCAGTAAATTTTGTCATTGGTTTATTCCTTTAAACCAAGCAGTGTGCATCTGAAATAGAAGGCACTGCTCTCAGAGCAGGTGGATTCAAACACCTTTCATACTCGCACCAAACTATAAACTGCTTGTTCCTGTCACCAGGGAAATAGTCATGCAAAAGACTGATTCACTGAGGCTTACCTGTTAAATGCTCATAGAACAAGCCCACTGTGGTACTTTGCATCATAAAACTTATGAAGAAGTAAATGCATCCACACAATAATGAGCCATTATGGCTCATTAGAGGTTCAGCTTGCAAAGTCCAAAGTGTACAAACAGAGGCATTTAGGACAAATCTGAACTGAGCACTGTACCCTGCCCTCTGCCTGAACCAGCCCTTTACACATATCTGGTAAATGATTTATAAACCTAAAGATAACAAAGTATAAAACCTCTTTTTCTCCTTCTATCGCTCTCTTCACTTTACAAAGGAAACCCTTTCTGAATAATTTGCCATGTCTCTGAAAATGTTTCAAATTTTGGTGTCTGTTCTGCTGTTTACAGGTAAGTGCCTGGCATCCTGTCTCATGTCATTCCCTTCAGGCTTGTTAAATAGTCAGCTGGTGAAAACGCCTGTGCTACCCCAAGAACAGCAGTGATGGAAGAGAATTTACTGGAAATCACTGCATCAGGGACATACAGGAGAGAGGGTGAGCACAAGATTGCATGGCAAATGCTGTGAAATACAGTTTGATTCTGCTCCTCGTTGCTGCTTTTGAGCCTTTTACTGCTCTTGTATCAGGAGGAAGGATGCATTTCTGACAGAAAAACATTCTTACAGGATGATTTCCTGAACTGCTAAAACTGTAAAAAGAACTTGATGCTGTTTCTACGAAATTTTCTCTAAATATTATTCTTACCTCAACATTTATTGTTTGTAGGAAACAATTGCACATGCATTTATAAGGACCCAAAATAATCTATTTCACAAGTGATTTCTGGAATGCCTGACTTGAATTTCTTAAGGAGACTGATTGTTTTAAGGCACTCAGGCTGTCTGAATGCTGATCCTTCTCAGCACTGTGTGACCAGAGCATCTACAATCAAGACCCAACCTGTAAAACTTGGATCAGAGGGAAAATGGATGGGGCAGGGCTACCACACACTCTTCCCAAAGCAGCACACACTGGTATAGTCAATGATCACTGATGCACATGCTGCGAGATTAATTTGTTTCTCAAAAAATTAAAACAAACCAGGCAGGCAATAAGTGACAGCTGACTTCCCAAGTGATTGCCTGCATCTTGACAAGATGGTCTATCCACATGCATGCATTAAAAGCATTTCTTAGATTTGAGTGCTCCAACACACATGCAGGAAATACATTATGTGAATAGCTAAGGCAGAAGAGACAATGATTAATAGTGGATTATTGAAAAAGGTTTTGTAACTTGGAACCACAGTCAGGTATAATCTCTATCATGGGTTGAATTCTCTTCCATGCCATATGAACCTGAGTTTTGGCTACAGTGAGGCTCTGCAGGGAAATAAGAAGATGGAAAGGGACTTTGTCTTCTGCAAGTTTGATCTCACCTATAAACCTTTCCCCCTTATTTGTCCTTCCTGATCTACAGTTGAACTGGGACAATTCCTGGGTACTTGCCTATCTTCTTGAACTTCACCTCCTTTCCACTGAAAGCCGTTTGTAACACAAACAGTGTCACCCAAGGCCAAGCTGGGAGCATAATAGCTTGCAGCTCCTCCATCTGGAAGACTTTACTTTCATCTATTTTATGTCTTTTTTCTTGTTTTCCCTCTTTTCCAGGTTTCTATTCTTCAAAATACACGAAGAACTACTTATTACTAATTTTTAATGAGCTCTTAAAAGTTTCATTGATCACAATCAGTTGTTTTTCATTAATAGTGAATTCTTTCAGCAACAATGAAGGTGGTGGTGAAGTAAAACAGAGATTATAAGATTCTCATGAGAACTTTATTTTTCTTCATGTCTTCATTTCAGCTTCTGTAAACCACTCCTCATAGTAAACTACAGTCAGTGCTGGGAATAGGCTCTCTGGACCTTTTGCTTTAGCCTCTGGAGAGTCCAGCAGCAAGGGATGGGGTAGGAGTATGGTGTCTTGGCACTGAGATAATTGCTGAAGTCTCTCAGGTGTCTGATGGGGGTGTTTTGCCACATATGGATGTACAAAGGAAATCTCAACAGGGCCCATTGAGTGGACCAATGCACTGGTATTTTTTCTAATACTTTGCTGCAGTGGAAGTAGCTCCTTCCCTAGGATTTTTGCCAAATTGACTTGCTATTTACCCATACCTGAAAATTATCCTGAGCCCTGGCATCATATTGAATATGTTCAATAGCTAATTCTGCATTGTGTATAGTTTCTCTGACTTTGCTGATGAGGCTGATGCTGTAACTCTAAGGATTGTTAATGATGTCTCTTGAACCAGAGAGCTCTTGTGTACTGTGATATAAAATTAAGAATTGTCAAAGAATAAAGTATGTTTTACTTCAAGCTTGAAAAAGAAACAGATGAGGCCAAAATTTCAAAGACTGGATGTTATTGGTAGAGTTGAAGCACTTAAAAATCAGTGACTTTAAATCTTGCTGTCAACAGGTATTAGCAAATCTGATTGATTGAATTCTATTTTAAGGCTTGTTACCATCCAAACACTCCAGAATACAAAGCCTATGTACATAAAAACATTTTTTACAATAATTTGAAAAGAGCAATGCACAGGCATTAGACTTTAATATAATCGCACTTTTCAACTGAAAAAAGGTGATATCTGGGCCAGAGGTGGCCTGCAGAATCCACAAGTCTATCCTTGCTGCAATCCAGCCATTTATGCAGTGTTCTGACACATAACCACATCTTGATTTCCAAGGAATGCCACATAATCTAAATACTTGGTGTGAGGAGAGAAGCAGCTGTTGCCATATTTTTTTCAGCATTTGCATTGTTGTACTGTGCTATTCTGAGTCCTCAGACCTTGTCCTGTGGTCAGACTTTGTGAATTTAGTTTTAGAAATTCAGACAGCTGAAACATGGTGGGAGGTGGTCCATTCTGGCTCACTTCTAGCCTTAGGAAACACACCTGAGCTGCAGACTTGATTTACTTTTTCAAAGTTCCCAACACGTCAGCACCTGCCACCTCAGCAAGGTTGAAGTTTAGCTCTGTCCAAGTTTAGCCTCTGTCCAAGCTCTGTCCTAAAGAGCTGATAAGACTGGCAGCCTTACCTCCATAAGCTGAGATTCTGACCAGAGTCACCATAGCTGATAAGAAGAGTTATACCTAAAGGAAAGGAGACAGAGAAATTGCCAACTTTTGATGTTTAATTTCCATTGATATCAACTTAAGCAATATATTTTCAGGTTGTCAGAAACTTGCAAGTCTTCCAAAACTAGAGAGAAACAATAGTGTGCACAGAGAGTGTTTGAAGTGCTGCTAAATAATTAACAGGTTTTTTTGTAAATATCACAACAAATCAGAGATAAACCACTTTTCCCTGTGGTAGTTGCACATCAGGGATAAATATTGGTCCTAAGCCTAGAGATTGCTCCTTACCACTTATACAATACTGCTAATCTGGATAAAAACAGGCTTTGGGGTAGAAAATGGAAGAAGCACCATATCCTATACTGAGGCAGATTTGAAGATTTTTCTTCTTACCATTAAACTCTGCCATTAGACGTGCAAATGGTGGCCTGCCTGCTCTTCCCAGACAACTAAGCACACAATGACTCTTGCTACTTAACTTTTACAAAAGAAAATATGTTTCAATTAAATAGGTCCCTTAGCAGGCAAATGTGTCAAAACTTAATCCTATAATCACCTTTTTGATTGTGTGATGAAGTGAATTATTGCATATTCAGCTGACAGAAAAAGATGTCTCCCTGGGAAGATTTTGTGGCTGCATCCAGCTGAATATGTTGCTTTCTGGAAATTGATCCTTGTAAAGAGAGATATGCTTCCATTCAAGTCTAAGATGAAAAGATTTTTAAAGCACAGTATCCAGGTTGATTTTCTATTTTGAGTGCAGTTTTCTTGCTATTCTGTGATATTTTTTATTATTACTTTGACATTCCAAGATATTTGAGATGTGTTTTTCATAATCAGACTTTTATCATCTTTTATCTATCACTTTTGGGGTTTTGTTTTATATACTCAGTGCTGGATTAAGTGTACATTTGATTTTTTTGACCAAGATGACAAGGTTGTGCCACCATCTCTCCTCAAATTTAGTCTTAGATCATAGTAATCCAAAATTAGATGCTGAGAAAGCATGGTAACAATAATGACTACTAACAATTTTCCCTCTGGACAATGACTTTAGGTGAACAGGATAGACAAAACTATTTGCTGAAGGCAATTATTACATGACCTAAGCATCTGCTTGCTAAAACCAGCCAATTTTTTTCTATAATTTGCTTTTCATGTGGGAGCACTGAGTGAATCTTCAAGAGAGGATGAATGGAAACACTATAACTGGTAACAGCTGATACAACCCCAGCAATACTTCACCCTCCACGCACATTCCTCCTATTTTCCCACTGGGACATTCATATCTAAAAGTGTTTTCAAATCACATATTTCTCTAAGAGAGGAAAAAAATATTGAATAAAAAAGAAAAAAAAATCCCATGCATTATATCTGGTTGCTCTTCATGGTGAGTTAACTGTTTCAGTACAGCTTGAAATTCTTTATCTATTTTCCAGCTCAATTTTATGCACCATGAGCCATTTTATTAACATCACACTGAAATTATGATAATAATGATAATTAGAAATTATCACACTGGAGTTCTTGCAGAGGTGTAGGTATTTATAAAAAGCAAGGAAAAAATCCACAAGAAACTGAGCTGCTTAATGATCTTTTTTTTGCAGCTTATTTCAGATCTGGAAGGCCAGAGCACATATTGGTGATAAAATGTAATGTTTAATGGCCCTTACTAACTGTATGTACATTTAAAGAAAACTGAAGCTTTTAATGAGTCAATTTCTGATCCCACTTCAGTTATCTCAGTCTAGAAATGTAATTATGAGCTTAAAAAATATTTTATATTAAAAAAAAAATCCCCAAATTCACTTAAGAGAAATTAACAGCTCATAGAATTTTCTATTTGAAAACAGTAAATTGCCAGAGAAATACTGAAATTTGGCACAATCTTTGTTTTCTCCTGTGCAGCTCTAAAATGCAAGTATAGCAGCTTAATAGACATATGCATGAAATATATTTTCCTTTTTCCCAGCTTTCCACCAAATTTCTGAACTTACGTTTTTCCATGGAGTTGGTAACATTTCTGAAGATGGCATTCCTTGAAAAATCCCTACCCTAAGACTTCTACCTTCAATTTATGATTATAGTAACTTGGAATATGAAGAAACTGAAGTAGGAAGGAACTACTGGGACTGTGATTGCTTGCTAAGTAACTTTTCTAAAGTACTCTTTGATGTCTATATTAAGAGAAAAGATGACAACCACCCTCACTTTTTTTTTTTGTTCATTACTGTATAACCAAGCTTTATCTCATCGTCTTTTTAAGCATTTTTGGCACTGAAAAGAAACGAAGTGAAAGGGAAAAGCAAACACTCTAGCTCACATATCTTCTACCTATATGCATTCAGCAAATGTTTTTTTTCTATTGAAAAACCAAAAAGCAACTATATTGTGGATGATCAGGAAAGCCAGCAATAATTACAATTGAACTGGATTCAGCTGAACATTTCACATGAAAGAAAACATTTGATACTCCCAGTTAGATTTTCTCCCTAGAAATTCAGGAATCAGGGAATTGGAGAGCTGTGAGGTGATAGCTTGCCCTGCTGAGCTCCTACTCTAAGACATAATAGACAAAGGTTCAAGTTCTTGGCCCTTCTGTTCCAGGTATGTGCAGGTCACCCTCAAGTGTCCATTTAAACCCACTTCACTAAATTGGAGCACAGCTGTTTACAGCCACTGGCCTCAGCTTGGCTGAAGGATGTGAGCTTCATCCTAATCAGTGGTTTATTAAAAATTGTGTGATTTGGACTGACGTGCTATTTTGCACTCTTTTAGCCCCATATTAATTTATGTCACAAGATTAATTTATGTCTCAAACACCTGAGAATAAAAAGAAATATTTTTTTTTTGTGTACCAGGGCCTTTCATATGAAGCTAAAGAGGAATTCTGACCTTTTTCTTGTGAAGAATATTTTTTTTAAGGTCTGCAAGGACTCTTAGATCTGTGGTAATCTCAGAATCTATCTGAAGCAATGGAATAACAAGATTAGAAGTGCAATATCTTCTGTTCAGAAAGTTATTTCCAGGCATGCAGTTTCTATGCTGATACTAATGAGAGTAAATGTCACATATAAGCCAGGAGGTTCAGAAACCATAGATAAATTCATAGGTAGGGTTTGTATTATTTTAAAAACTTTAGGGTCTCAGCACACCTGAGACTAGTGCAATTACAGTCTAAGTGGATTTTTGAAAGAAAAATTTGCACTAAAAATAAATTAGTGTATTAATTAGGTTGTAACTTTATTTACTTCAGATTAAACAGCTAAATAATGATTTAGAGCATTTATTTTATTAACTTTAGGCTTAAAAAAGAATTTCTTTCTGCAAACCTAAGGTAGGACCGCTTTTGATTTCTATTAAATAAACTGCAGAATCAAAACCATATTCTGTGGACATAAGGGTATTTTTGAAGTGTACATTCTAACATATTTTTCTGTTATTACAAATATTTATCAGCTTCTGTTTCAAGTGTCCTTGGAGCACCCTTTCTGACAGAAGAATCAGCAAATCAATTCATACGGCTCAAACGACACATCCTATATTCTCCGAGCTACTGGGACTCAAGCAGCAGCCAGAACACGTGGGGATACAGACATGTGGCTGAACAGGTATCTTCTTCTTTCCTCTTGCAGCACCAGCTGAGGAAAAGAAAGCATGGGTCTGGCATTAACATGTAATTAAAAAGTAAATAAATCATTTGGGTCAAGGCAGGAAATTTTTTCTGATTTATCAGCACGGGCAGGGCTGCTCGGTAGTCACGGGCTGTATTTGTTCAGTATCAAAGCTCAGAATATTCCTTCCTCTTTTGATCTACTTCAGGTTAGTGAATCGTGGGCAGCCTTGAAAGAAACAGCACAATACTACATGGACTTGGACCCTTTTGCCTTCGATCCCTCGACAGCCGTGTTCGATGGGGTTTCTGAGCAGAGCATTTCATAGACTCGGAGCCTGTGTGTACCAAAGTAAGTAAAACTGACCCATACAACACTGCTGACAATTGCTTTATAGTGTCATAAACCCAACACAGTAAAAAAAAAATTATATCTTGATAAATTAGATTTGTTTCTACCATCCAAGTTTAATAGTTATTTAAATGCGGTCATTTTATCGTTGTGGGTTCTTTTTTATGTATGTTTTGGAAAAGATCATTAAGAGCTCGAAGAATAGATATCCTTTTAAAAGTCAACAGAAGCTAAACTGCTTCCTATAGAGTTGATTTAAAAAGCAGACAGAAAGCAATTCCTGAGGAGAAAAATAAAAGATAAAAAACTTCATCTACTTCAGTGACAAAACTGTATTCAGTGTGGAATAAAACCTCAGCAGCACAAAACAGAGAATGAGACATAGCAGTTGGTAAAAGCAGTATTTATAGATCAGCACGGGAGTACATGAAATGAAGAGTGGCAAACTGTCTCAGAGAAATTGTTAAGGATTGTGCTAAAAATGGACACATTTTTTGGGACAACATTTTGTCAAATTTAGGGAGCTTTTACTAAACGATTCAGTTGGACAAGCACTCTTTATTTCTGTGGAACATGTTTCCTGTGAAGATACTGCAGTCCTTAAAAATGGACAGGATCATGTAGAACTAAACTCAAACAGTTTCAGTGCTTGAAACAGTTACTACAACAGCAATCTGTCAGTCTGACTGAAACCACCCAATAGGAAAAAGGGTAAACTTCTTCTCCTAATATACTTTGAATTGAATATGTTTTGAATTTTATTGACTTAAAAGTGCCTTTCTTTCTGAAAATGAGTTTAATTTTGAATTGCAGCTTTTGAAAAGACCTTTTATTTTTTATAAGATAGGAATATGACCTGGAGATTCTCAGAGTGAGCTTTCCACGAGTGTTTGACCTGAAAGGTGACACCAGTTTCACTCACTGTAAGCAGAAGAAAAGTAGGAGAGAATAGCTAAAAGCTGTAATTTACCTCCCCTCCTGCTGAGGCTTCAGCTGATGCCCTTGGGCAACTGCAAGGCAGCACCAGGTTATTCACCCACAATTTCTAATATTGATATGGCTGGATAGCATTAGTCACTTCTGCCTTATGACAAATTTACCTGAAGACACTTAGTTTTCTGAAAAAAACCCACCGCCTTTCCCATCAGAAAAATTCCTCACAGAGAAAAGTCCTAACTGTGTCTAATTTCTGGGTGTGCATCCATGTGCCTGATGCTGTGATGGCAGCAGCTGCCAGGCAGACTCCAGGATGAGCTGTGCCTCCAGAAAGATAATCCTAATGATTGTCATATGACAGGATTAAAGCCACTTACACAAACACATTTACAGGCACTCCCACTGAAGCATGTTTGTGATTTCAAAGCAAGGCTAGTTAACTCACAGACTGAAATAAACTTCCCAATGCTAATGTGACAGGACTTGACATCCAGAATTTTTGAGAAGCCATATAGTGGCAAAGAAGCATCAAGCTAGAAGTTACAAAAACCATTATGGCTAAAGTCAAACAAGTCTTTTCAACCTTATTGCTCCCGATTAGTGATAGTTCTGAAATTGAAAACCTATACAACTTATGCAGGAATCTGGTTCAAGGGCTGTACTTCAGAAGAAAACCTTTGCAAAAGCTAGAAAACCTAAGATTGCAGCTGTTGACAGTATCTTTAAATTAATTCTGTGCTTTTTTTTTTTTTTTTTCTAGAAACAATTTATTCCATCTTTTTTAGCAACAAGATCAGATCCTACATGGAGCTACTACAGCAGTCTGGGACTCACCTCCAGCAACAAGCTATTAAATCCTACACATCTTGTATCTGGCCATGTTAGGATATGGCATGTTATGGATTTGCCATTATGTATTGATAAGATGACTTTATCTCATCCCACTTGGGTCTAAACCCAAAATTAATACAGTAATTCTCTGCATAAATACTGCATATTTTATATTCATATGCAGAACTGAGACATTGGTCATGACAAATTGAATAAAAAGTTGAAGAAAACCAACTGTGAAATTCTAGCAGGTTGGGTTTAAAAATGCCTAGTTTTCTCAGGTAAAACATTCTTTTGACTAAACAATTGAAGATGTATATTTCTGCTTCTGTGACTGAAAACCACATTTTTATTTCTCAGTATTTTCCTTTAGCTACATTTTTGAGAGGCAAATAAGAAATGAAAATCAGTCACTTTGGATGAGTGAGAGAAGTAGAGCACATTTGCTTCAGGTGTACTTCTGTAGTTCAATGCATTTTCATTTATTCAAGTACTAATAGTGTTGCAGTACACATCCATTCATGTCAGCGCTTCTCTTTCCTCATTTAATCTTCTGTACTTGGTCTTGAGTGCCAAAACCCACTGAACTCACAGCTACTACTGTGAGATGTTTTTTCTTACTCCACAGAGATTGGAAATGGTGGAAACATTCACGGCTCCTTTTCTAAAAAGAAAATGATGGTGACAAATGTTCTTTATGCCATGTTCTTGAGCTTGGAAGTTTTCTGTTCATTAAAACAGTTCATTAATGTACTTTATTTCAAAACATCTTTGAAGAGAGGATTAGGCTTCTATGTTTCTTTTGTATGTTATTAATATAATGTTAATAATTAAAAGCTCTTTCAAACTTGGCCAAATTTTTTGCATGAATAAAGATGACCTGTTGAAGAAAACAAAATGTATGGTAACCTAATGGCAAGGTAGGTGAAGGAAGGCAATTTTTACTTGCTTTTTTTCCCCAATGAGCAGATTCTGCATGTTGTAATTTCAGGATTATTTGTAAATATGGACTGTACATTAACTGGAACATATTTGAAGATAATGTTGGATCTTCTAGAAAAAAATCCATATTCTGGCTTTTTGGCAATCTCTACCATGATCCTAGGTATGAAACTATCCTTAGGCCGTTATTAACTTCCCTGCACAGGACAATGGGCCTGAAATTGCCATTATTCATTAGCTGAAGCTGAAAATTCATTAAACACTTGAAAGAGATAAATGAGGTGCAAGTTCAGTATTTGCTATGTAGGATTTCACATCTTTAGTCACACTACTTAATTATGAACAGTTCATTCAAAGATAAGGGGTGACAAGTGATATATAGAGTAAAGACCACAGTCATGGCCTGTCCCTGCTGCCTGCCTTCTCTGCACTGTTCATCCTTGGACAAGCTAGTGCTCTGACCCTAAACATTCCAGTCTTTTCCTCAATAGCAGCACAGACACGACAGTGTTACTGAAACTCTTCATTTATAGCAAAATGCAAGGCTGTAAGGATAAGCACTGCCTTTTATTTTAAGTGACTATGCAGTAAAACCCCGAGGATGTACCTGCTCCAGCTGAGCATCTTGCTGGTCCCAGAGAAGCTGCAACTCTGCAGGCAGTGATTCCCACATCACTTGTAAGCCAGTTCCTGAAGTACTGCTCTTTCCTGCCCCTCTCTCTAATTGGTGTCATTGCTGCCAAGGCAGAGTTTGGTGATCTATCTGTGCATTAACTGCAGCTTTCATGCCTGCATGGCATTTTAAACAAAAATGGGGGGAATTTCAGGGACTGGTTTTCAGATAGGCAGCAAACATCCCTGGAGTGGGGATGACAAAGTCCATCAGTGAGGTGGAAGGCAAAGTGAAGTGCTATCAGCTACCATCTGCTATCAGCTAGTGAGGTAACTGCCCAACCCTTATGAACCATTTTAGGGTTGTCAAAGCCATAAAATTAGGATAACCACTGTCTGTTGCCACGAGGACTAGTCTTGCACTAGGCTAGCTTTGCAAGAAAAACGTCAGACAATGCCAGGGGATGCAATTTGACAGATCTGTTGTACTTAGACATGACTAATTCCTTTAAAGAAGTTGTTCTGAAAGGCAGAGACTCAATACTCAATCTGCAAATCCATAGCTTCAAGCTAATGTCAGTAATTCAGATAATTAGTGTTGCTGAATTAAAAGGGAAGAATTGTGCACGCATGAGCAGCGGTGGAGGATGAGGTGCTTATTTTGTGTTATCAAGTGCTTGCCACTCATGACAATGAGCAAATGGCTTTCACAGCATTTGAATATTAAATACTTTCGTCTGCATTTATTAATAACTGGGAAAAATATTTACCCTGTGAATTTGCTCCCTCTATTTATCTTCATATATTGTTTCAGCACTTTAACACAAGCAAACCTGGACTCTTCTTTGCTGACTTTTCCAACACATCTTTATGTTACCACCTACAAGTTTTATCTCCTTGCTTTTTTCTACACAGCACATATACACGCAATACCTTAGCAATGACAAAACTAAAGAGAGCTTCAAGTACATCTGTGTTGGTCATGACAGTGGAATTACACGTCTCAGGGCATAGGACCTTTGCTTCTGGTGCAATGGAGAGCAGTATTTATTACTAGTTTCTGAATACTGCAAACTTTTTGAACAAAAAAAACTAAGCTACACAAATACCTGAGCTCCCTGAGGCTAGAGAGAACAGAGTTCCTCTGAGAGAGGGGGAACAGGCAGAGAGGAAGAGGAGTTAGAGGAAGCTAGAGCCAGGTTTGTCTCTGTATTGATCTTAACTGGATGGATGCAGAACGTCCACCAAGCAGCCTGATTTTCTAACTCTCCTGACTTATGTGAACAGGGTAACTAAAGTCAACAGGACAGCAGAAATCAGGATACCCAGGTATCTCATGGCTGATATCTAGCTCCAGCAGCAGCTTTTTGCCAGGCAATGCTCTCCCATGGGAATGGCAAGTCAGTCGTGCTGGAAATCCTTCCTCAGAGCACTTGCCTATTCCCCCAGCTTCTTGTATCCCTAATTTTCCCAGTCTTAGAAGAATCAAACTGCCTTTGCAATCTCTCCTACTCTGTCAAGTTGAGTTGAAAACAGCCCACAAGTTACAAAATTACTGTGGCTAGACATAAGGGATAAACATGTACTTACTGAGACAGCATGGTTGCAGGAGCCTTGCTTTGTTAGGGAAACAGAGGAGGGATTCACTGTAGTCAGACATGACAGCAGAAGTAAGAAAACCTGTCATTTCAACAATAATTGAAGAAAAAGATTAATACTCCATGGCTTTCTTTAAATGAGAAAAGCAAGTCATTCTGAACACAGTGAATAGAGAAAGCTGTAGAATCCAAGTAACCTATATATAACCTGCTTTACAAATGTTGAATATGGGATAAGTACTAAAATACAGTCTTCTGTAAACTCAGCAGGTGAGTAGATAGAGGTAACGAGAAAGAACCATTTATTTTATGATCTGAAATGATTTCTTCAGCTGTGGCAACTGGTATTCAATGGAAGTTTTACGCACTACTTCATCATTGCTGTAGTTCATGTGACTGAACCTGGTCCCAGATGACTTTAATGCATAAACCTTTTGAGCTTGCATCACATTAATGTTGTGCCTTGCTTTACATTTGATCTTCTGTTGTCTTAATTTAAACCAGAACAGCTGAGACAAAATGCTCATCTAATCTACACCTGCTGCTGGCTGCCAGCAAGAGTGAGCTGTGTTCAAAGCAATTTATGTTGGCTGATTAAGTACATAAACCACCCACCTGAGGCAGGTGCATTGGCATAATCACTTCATGTAGAGTGTGAAATAAATTGTTAGTGTTTTGCATCATCCATAGGAAAAAATGAGCTCAGTAGTTAAAATGTAAACATAGAAAGTTATCCAAAACCCTAAAAGTTCAGCCAGGAAATAAGCAGTCTTTGTATGTGACTATTATGTTAAGTAAACAAACATCAATAATTACTGATCTGCCCTGAAGACTGTTGAGAGATATGTATTTCAAACAATATCACATCAAACCTGCAGGGCCTACTTTCCACCAGCTGCAAAAAAGAGGAACAATTCCTTCTATGAGAGATGAGTGGTATCAAACTGGATATCTGTAAAGGTGATCAACATAAGGCAGCACAGCAAACATCTGCTCCCTTTGAGCCCAAGCCCAAGCCACATCCCACTGCAGCACTAGGCAGGCTGAGTGCTGCAGCTGACTGCCTTAGAGATAGAACAAGTACTCATTGAGACTCACAATGCAAATTTTACCGAGGGGAGCAAGCTTTCCCTCTGCCAATGTCAATCCAGACAGGGACGGGGAAGGAAGAAGGGACAGAATGACGAATTTCAGCCCTCTAGGGTCAGCCCCTAAAAGCTTCTTTCTCTATGAGGCGTTACAGGATAGTCAGCTTGGAGTGACACTTCCTATTCAGCTCCTTATTCCTGGTCATAGCAGCCACTGCTAAGGTGATTTCATGCCAGTCACTGCCTCCATGGCAGAACTGAATAAGCATGCGAAATCCTATCTGAATAATTCAACTATGTCCTGCTTGTGATTGAAAGCTGCTGTGCAGCAGGGAGCTCACTCAAGGAAAGCTTAAAAAACATCCTTACAACTGCTGTCAATACTATTATCATAAATCCAAGGCCCGGTTGTGCAAGGTGCAATGCAAAAGTAGTTATTGTGACATCTTCAAAATAAAAGTAGGGCTGTCTAAGGACAAGAAAACAACCACAGATAGAAAGTGCCTAAAGGATGGTGGTGGTGGCTGCTTAGCACTGAAAAATAACCTATTTGGTAGTTATTTAGAAGAATGACTTAAAAACATCTTATTTGCAACTTCAAACTGGCTTTGGTTGAACACAGCACAAAGAACTATAAAGTGCTGCTCCCTCTTGGTGTCTCTGTTGAAATATTTATGGTGCTACCCTTGCTGTGGATTTCAGGCAGGAGGCTGAGTGCTGAAAGATCCACCACGAGCTTCCTGATGGCCTGGGACCTATACATCCCCAAATTACAGTGTGGGCATGGTGCAGCCTGAATTTTGCTATGGTACCTCATAAAGCAACTACCATATTGCAAAGCTACGTGAGTTGACTTTTGTTTTTTAATTTAGAAGACTTGCAGTAATGAGGAAGAGCCTATTAAAACATTTAAATAGTGAACTTAAGAGGAACAAAACTAAAGAAAACAAACATGCTCTTACTGGAACGAGTGTGTTTCAGGCTCACAGAAAATAACTCACAGCACTGAAGAGGTCAGATGTGAATTCATTACTTTTCTAGTACAAGATCACTCGATGTGCAACAGCCCTGCCAATCATTATGTCCAAAGTAAATAATGGATTTTAAGTGTTTCTGTCTCATTATCTTGCGACAGGATTGTTATTATTTTATGACTGTACAACAGTTTTTTAGGAAATCTCCTCAAGGACAGGCTATACACACACACACACACACACACACACACACATATATATATATATGTGCCTAGTTAATTTTCTTCTTTTCCCCACTGCCTAGATTGCACAGCAAGCATCCTAGATGGAATGGGCCAATAAGAGTGGGCTTCAGAATTCTCCAAGTTTGCATAAATACAAGTAAATTTATACCTCAGAATTTTTTTCAAATACAGAAAAGTTGGCTGTTATAATGGCTTAACAATTCATGGTGAGAACATGGATTTCCAAAAAAGGCTGGAAAGTCTCATTGAATTACAATGCAATAATGAAGTCTGAGGTTTTTCCAGCATGTATGTGTGTCCTGCTAATTTGGTATGGCAGTGCCAGACTGTGCCTCCAGAAATAATTAAAGATAATAGTTGTACAGGTACTTCATCAGCAGAATGGAGGGTGATGAATCCATGCAAAAATTACACAGGTAGAATAGAGGGATTGCCACAACAGACAGATACAATAATAGGCTAGCAGAGTCTCCTTTGAGAGTGAAGCTCAGTTTTACAGTTTCATCTCACCTGGGCTCAAGGTCACTGAGGAAGTCTTGAATAATTTCAAGAAAATCAGTTATGATTTTTTCAGTTGGGTTTATGTACTTATTTTAATTTTACAACTTTTATTCATTTTTTTAATATTGTATTTTTTAGAAATTACACAATCATATTTTATCTTGAATTCCAAGCTGCAGTTTTTATAGCAGATCCTGTTGTGTTGTCTTTGCTTTTAGGAGGAATGACTACAGGACATACTGGACATTCACTTTATTGT